CCACAGAAATTTGAAAATATCTAGCACTACAGAATAAGTACATATCTGTTTAACTCAGAAATTCTATTGGTAATTGTATCTCCTGAGGAATTATAACATATATGCATAGGAATTCATATGCAAGAATGTTCATCATAGAATTAATTGCAACAATAAACACTTGAAAACTTTATTACCCATTAATAATAATGGGTAATAATGGAGAACAGATACATACTGTGGTATAGTCAAAGAATTCAATGCTATAGAATATTTCAAATGAATGACCTAGATCTACATAAAGACATGTATAAATATAAAAATATTAATACTGGGCAAAAATAGTACATTGAAGAAAAAGTATGATTATCATTTACACAAAATCTACAAAATTGCACATGACTGTATATGAATTAAGGAAACAAATGTATGTAGTAAAAGAATGAAGAACTGCAAGGAAATGGTCATCAATAAGTTTAATTAAAGTAATGGTTACTTTTCAAGTGTATGGAATCACAAAGGGAAACAGAAATTCGACTATATCTGTAGAATTTTACTTCTTATAAAAAAAGATGTGAAGCAAACGTGACAAAATGTTAAGATTTGGCAATCCTAAATGATAGGTACAGGTGTTTTTTATATTATTTTCTGTATTTTTCTGCATGTTTAAATTATTTGATGATATGAAAAGAAACAACTCAGTGACATTCAGTTCTCCTCTACTCAGATAGCAAATCAGCTATTTTCTGTGAACCTAAAGATATTACAAGTCCAAGATAAATCCTAGGGCCACAGTGACTACTACGTGTGTACTGAATATCCAGTTACATGCACCTCATTTCACAGACATTTTAGGAGATAATATACTGAATTAACATTTCCACATGTCGCTGGTGATCATATGCTGTCCTGTTTTAGATTAAGATATTACTACTTTTTGTAAATGGTTAAACATTTTGGCATGCTTTTCTAGAAACTGGCATGGGCTTTATTAAGCCATTCTCCTTTCTGGATGAAGGTACATGATCTGCCTCAAAGTAACCTAGTTTCCTTTTCCCCAGACTGCTACTTCCGGAGATTAAACCTGCAACTCCAGCCACTTTTAAAAACAAGCTATACTACTTATATTTTCCTATCAATAACAAGAGATCCTCAGCATTACCCAGCCTTTGAAAGGGTTCGGAAGAGAAGTTAGGGAAATTCACATACCTGCTGCAGTTTAAGACTTATAAGACTCTGGAACATGGCTTGAAACTCAGGATAGGGGAGAGCTACAGAAGGACTAAAGCAATTGTGTTAGTCCAGGTGTGCTGTTCTACCTCACCACTACACCAAGTCAAGTCATTCTACCTGATTTCCTGGTGGCTCAGACCATGTGTGTTTATACAGACAACTACAACCAAAATGGAAGCTGCTCACAGCGATACTCTTATTTTAAGGGATGCACTCTGATATCTTCTATTCTAGTGTCTTATACATCAGAAACATTGTCTGTTATGATCTCCTATATTGATTTCACAAGCCCTGATGATTCACACACTAGAAAGTTGTTATGAATTATTTCTATGACTGTTATGTTCAAAATGCATGTATGATACATTGCATTAATATATCAAGTTCATTTGGAAACCTTTTATTATATTCTACTTCCAGGGAGAACTTTTTCAGTGGAAAATTCTTATCAATGGAAAATGGTATTTTTAATTCAATAATGAAGCATTACAGGGTAAGAGAACATTAAAGCAGATTTGATTTCCTGTGCACTTTCTATCTTATCTCTGCAACGCTCCCACCCCCCTCAACTTTGCCTGACTAAGGGAAAAAAAAGTAAATGAGGAAGTTTATTGGCTAGACAGAAGTGAAAATGACCAAGACATAGTGGCACGGAATAGCAATTTACTTATTATAAATGAAGTGACAGGGACTAAATCCAGAATTTACCAGAATCAACTTGGAAAAGAAAAGAGGATGTGGAATAATAATAAGATAAATAGTTTTGATTAACATAGCATTTAATTTCATATTTTTAAAGAACAATAGGTATCTGTGGGTAGCTCCATGTCTCCTCCTTAGGATAGGTCAATACTCAAGTATGCTCTGTCAGTTCCTTATGATTATTTCCCCTCACAATGTCCTAACCTCCAATTTATTTCAGCTAAGATATAGAGTAATAAATAAATGTTTAATAAATGAAACATTTCACCAAATTATTGGAGAACTGTCTTCAGGGATAGACATTCAGAAATACACCCAATTCACTGTTTGCTGACTTTACCTCTCAGAATATCTCTAATGGTGTTTCTAGAGAAGTTCTTCAATAATCTACCATTAATTCCACTTTATGTATAAAGCCTTCTCAAATCTCATCATCAATTCAACTTAAACATTATGAAAATATAGGTGCAACGTCTTAAAGACCAGATTTTCTGAGGCTGACATTGATCCAAGATTATAGGGCCAAGGAGGCAAGCGAAACATGAGTTCAGCCATATTCATGTCTATCTTGCATATTTTATTATGTAATTTGTATTATGTTATTTTGCACTTCCACTACGAATTAGAACCTAATGTTATGTTATTTGCTTGTTATGGGTTTAATAGCATCTGCCATCTAGCAATACCCAGCAATATGGTTTCTGAATGAATTACCTAGATTATATTGAACTTTCCATTTTTAGCTTCTTTTTAAAAATGCAATTTTTTATAAAAATATTTTTTCAAATACAGAATAATCATTACATTCTAAGAATGGTTCCAAATTTTCATATGCTATTAACTTTCTAACCTTTGTAATGAGAGAGTAATATGAAACCATTAGGGATTGATAAACTTGGCTGCCCACTGGAATAATCTGGGAAACTTTAAAAAGTACTGATAGCTGGAACCCACTCCCAGATTCTTCATTAATTTGGGGGTGTGGCTTAGGCATGGGATATTCTGAAGGCTCTGCAGCTAATTATAATATGCACCAAGCTTGAGAACCACTGCTCTAAACCCTTGATACTCAGTGAAAGGTCTGAGGACTAGCGGCATCAGCTTTACCTTGAGGCTTGTTTTTTAAAAAAGCAGAAGCTTGACTGTACCCCATACCTATTGAATCAGATCCACATGATCAGGTGCTCCAATTGAACCAATCCAGAATTCCTTTTCTATAAAAATAAATGGGGCTTCCCTGGTGGCGCAATGGTTGAGAGTCCGCCTGCCGATGCAGGGGACGTGGGTTCGTGCCCCGGTCCGGGAAGATCCCACATGCCGCAGAGCGGCTGGGCCCGTGAGCCATGGCCGCTGAGCCTGCACGTCCGGAGCCTGTGCTCCGCAACGGGAGAGGCCGCGACAGTGAGAGGCCCGCGTACCGCAAAAAAAAAAAAAAAAATTAAAAATAAAGGACCAAGTCTATTCCATCCCTTCCAACTCTAAAATTCATATCGTACAACCTAAATGAGACACTGAGAAGCACTTTCAACCCCACCTTGAATTCTTTATCTATAAAATGAGAGACCACAGCCATCCTCTCCTCTCCAACCCCACAATTCTCGTTCCACAACCCTAAAAAAATATAATGCTGAGGGAATTTGTAAAGTTGTGTAATAATTCCATCTTCATACCTTTGGATACACTTTCTCTTCCTTAGAATTCCTGTTTCCTTTCTCTTTTCTCACTGAGACACATAATTCAAGACCTAGGTAAAATCCCACCTCCTTTAGGAAGCATATCCTGAAGAATAATCCAGCTTTTCTCTAAAATTCTTTTGTCAGTATAATGAATTTCATGAAGTGTAACACCTTGTTTCTTTCTATTATTACATATATATTATCTTGTTTCTCCAGTTAAATGATGAGTGTCTTAAGTGAGAGATATGTCATGTTCCTTTTCTATCCCAACCTAATGTCTAACCTTTGTAGTGAATTGTGTTGTTAAAATGTATATGGGAAATAAAAATAAGTTTGCACTACTATCACAAATTATTTATTCAGAACTAGCCTACCATTGACCTTTCCCCATAATGTAACCTCACCATACATAATGCAGGTTCTAGCACATCTGGGTGAATCACAGTCGGCTGTGCCTAAGGCTCCTATTCTTTTCTTCCCGCTTCCCTCAGGCCTGCCAGCCTGATGATAAAACTGCTTCAAATAGCACAGAAAATATACAGAAAAAAATCTCTGCTCATTAGTCCTACAGTATGCCTACAGGAGACCTCTAATATCCTTTTGCTCCATACCTGTCTTACTCACCATTACATCTCCATCATAGTGTTTGGCACATACTGGGCATATAAATGTATTATAAACAATGTGTCAACCAACTACGCAGGAACAAACTAATATAGAAAGTATGCTACTGAGCTTGTGCTAATATTGAGAAGTATGATTTTTTATAGTATCTCCTATATATGCTTTTCTTTATATATGTATATATATATTTACATGATAAAAATAATATGTAGTCATTGTACAAAACACAGATAAAGCAAACTGAAAAAATGTAATCTCCGAAACTGCACAACCCAAACATAACTGTTAGCAGATGCATATCTGTCCAGACCATCAATTTATATATATGTATATATATACATATATATAAACATATGCTATTAAACATATGTACTTTTTAAAACAGAGGATCACACTCTATCTACTGCTGTATACCCTGCTTTTATTCGATTAAACATATATCAAAGCATCACTCCAGCCAGCAAATCAATTTATGATAAAATTTGTTTATGATGGTTGTATTAACAGATGCACCAAAATTTATTTGATCAGTTACCTATCTTTGGAATTTATTTCCATTTTTGGTAATTATAAATAATGCTATGATGAACAATTTTCATCACACATTATCCAAATATTTCCTTAGAATAAAAACCACTTCTCTCACCAGGGGATGGGAATTGTCAAAACATTTCATCAGCAATGCTATAATATTTATATTATAAATATTGCTATAGTATTTATTAAGTAGTTACATACACTGAAATGTGACAAATAGAATAATTGATGCATTTGGAAAATACTCACATTCTTTTTGAGGGTAGAGTTCAGTTTCGAGTGATCGGAACTCATAATATGGTATCTCCTGTTTGAATGTTGATGTGAGAATATGATCAAGTTCATCAATGTCATTCTGTTTTCAAATGAAAAGGAAACTTTTTCTTAGTTCAGGTATATACAGAGAAACTCATCTTAGTGTAATATAACAGAAAATTATTGACTGGAGTAAATACTGACTAATCTTTAATAATACATCTTTTTTTTTAAAGAATAATACAAAACATTAGGGACTTGCCTAAAAGCCAATTATTAGAATAACAGAAGAACGGATGCAAGAAATAAGTCTTTGCTTTTAGATGAGTTAATTTACTTAAATACTCACTAATTTTAGAAGAGCATAACAGGTGGTCAATGATAACACTGAAATTTGTTTCAGTAATAAATTCTGTTAAAATACATGTTACATTTTAATAAATGAAATAATAAAATGATGAGTCTGATTCTTCACCTTAAGGGTTAGCAATGGAATAGTCTTAAATAGATTATTTTATTTCTGTGTCAAAGTGAGGGAGAATATTCATCTTGGCCTATTTTTCCCCTTTAAATATAAAATAACTATACATGAACTTTATTTCCCTAATCTGAACATTTTGGGAGGAGCCATGTAGAATCCAAGTGTTCTATTACCAAGGACATAACCTATTGCAAAGGCCACTGTTCTTTTGAACTGAGTTTTGTTTAGCAATGGCTGGGACCAGATCGACGTGTGACATAGTTGATTAAAGCTGAGGAAGTGGGCCAATCAACAAAGCCATGGGTGAAGAGAGAACTGTGGAACAAAAGTGTCCAATAAAGACGTTTGAAATGATTTCCAAATAAATTATACATATCGCCAATACGGAGTCACAGAAATTAAATGACTGGATTGAAAAAAAAAAAAAGATGTTACTCTATTTCTTCATTTTTCAATAATCTGGGCACCTCAAATAATAAAGTGGTTCAGGCCTTTCTGGATTTTCTAAAAGTCCTACCTAGAAGTGGAGAGAAAGGATGAAAGTCTTCTTCTCAACCTATAGCTAAGGAATGCAAAGCAAAACCCAACATTAATTGACTTAATGCTATGAACTATGTGAAGCCCTTTGCTCCGGATCATTTATAAAAAAAAAAAAAAAAAAAAGCAGGTGGAGGGGAGATGAGACAACAAGCTCTGCCATCAAGACATTCAGTGGGGCTTCCCTGGTGGCACAGTGGTTGAGAGTCTGCCTGCCGATGCAGGGGACGCGGGTACGTGCCCCGGTCCAGGAGGATCCCACGTTCCGCGGAGCGGCTGGGCCCGTGAGCCATGGCCGCTGAGCCTGCGCGTCCGGAGCCTGTGCTCCGCAACGGGAGAGGCCGCAGCGGTGAGAGGCCCGCATACAGCAAAAAAAATAAAATAAAAAATAAAAAGACATTTAGGGACTTGTCATTGTTTTTGGGCAATGAACTGAGTTCTAGGTATTATTATACAAAATCTTTACAGGTCAGGTACAGGGCAGGCAAAAAGGGAAGTGGCTCAATTCCACAGAGGAAGAAACAGTCGGGAAAGGCTCTGTGGAGGAGATGACCAAAGTTGAGATTGCTATGCAAATAAGGAGCTCTGGACTAAAGGCACAAATTGCATATAGTCAGGGAGGTGTCATGGAGCATGACCTGGTTAAGGATTTCAGGAATTTCCATAAGACTGCAGAAGAATGAGAGAGAGGAAGTGGGCATTTCAAAAAAGTGCCTTGTATGTCTGACGAAAAGATTTTAATTCATCAAGCAACAAGGAGTTGTTTAAGGCCTACAATATGTAACATGGATATGTTTGTTATGTGGATTAAGTTAAGCTTATTTAAGTATCAGCATAACTATAACTGCTTATGTGGTTGAATATTGATATTGAGTGGGACCTATTCTATAAATAATGTTGTGAAAACTTTATATTAGAGTAATTATTACTCAGTCTTTTCAGGAAGTCTTTGATAGGAACAGTGGGGCAAAACATTACTGGCAATATATTTGCACATTCTTTATGCTAAAGCTCAAAAAGAATATGTTTTAGCTATAGGACTTGATAAAAGGAATTAAGAAATTATAAAAACCCTAACATTAGTTTATAAAGTTTCTCAAAAACTTGTGTCAATGGCCATGAGAGTTCTGCATAGGCTATTATCTCGTCCTTGACATTTTTAAATAAAGAGATAAACTTACTATTTCTTCCCCAAAGTGTACAAGATTTAATGAGTAGAGATTAGTGTGTTGTGGAGTTACTACACTCTTGTATAAGTTAGGCAAAAGATAACCTCAGGTTCCTCCAGCTCTGAAATTCTGAGACATAGAGAATTCAAAAGAGCATGAGTTCCCAGGAGGAATCTTAGAAGTACAATTTCTCCCACAGAGGCACTACGACACTTTAATGTGAGAAATGCTACAGCTTATATCACTGAACTTTTAAAATGAAGTAGCAGCGTTCTTAGAATCAGAACAAAAGCTCTCACTATGCAGAAAAGGATATTTAATTAAGAAAGAGTGCAGATACCCTTTAATATTCTAGCCTATGATAACTAGCTGAATCACTTCTGTTTTCAATTTCATAATCATGCTACTAGTATTATACCTGCATATAAATAAACTGTACAGAACACAAAACAAAGGTGTGAAAAATCACACAAATGTTTACTAACATAATCCCCAAAAAATTTCTCCCCAGAAGATGCCCTAACTAGAAAAACCTGATTTGAGTAGTTATGCTTCTTTTTAAATTTCAAAGATGAAAATAGGCATCATTTCTAAACACTGGCATCGAAATTGGAAAATGCCATAAATTTTTCTCTCCTTAAAATAAATTGTGCAACTCTAAGAATACTTGATGAGGTTGGCACAACTGTTCTCCAAGCAGAAAAATTAAAATGGAGTAGTTTAATATTTGTTCAGCAAAATTCACAACCAACCTAAGACATTAGTTATAAATGAGCAACTTGATAAAAAAAATAAGAGCAGAATAAAATGATAAAATTATATTGGCAATACTGTTTGGTTTTAGGAAAAATTAAATATACATAAATAATATAAACATATATACATAAGCATGCACACACAGATCTCTATTTATCAAGAATATGAGAAAAAGAAAGCAGAAAAACTAATATACGAAATAGACAAAAAAATTAAATAGACAGAAGAATAATTACAAAATAATGAAGTAAACATATGACTTTTTCCAAGGGAATTTTTTCAGTGCTCTGTGATGGAATGTGGGATTGATGAATATACTTAAAAAGTAATTTGCATATATATTTATAGATCACAATTCTATTTGAATATGAAGATGTTATATACTTATTTCTATAAGCAACTTTATTACAATGAGTATTTTTTCCTAAAAGAGAAAAATACATAAAATATGTATTTTAAAAGATATTAGAATTATGGACTTTTACTTCTGGGAAGATGGAAGAGTTACACTTTCTCCTTTTCTTCTCCTTAAATACAATGGAAATGGTCAGATTTCAATAGGAAATCAATTATCATACAACAAACAAGAATCAGAAAGATCTCTTAACTAAATGAAAAGAGACAATCAATAAATGCCAACACCAGATGGGAAGAATTTTGTAATTATCTGACAAAGATTTTAAAACAGCCATGATAAAAATGTTTCAACAAGCAATAACACTCATTCTTGAAATAAATAAATAAAAAATAGAAGGTCTCAGCAAGGAAATAGAAAGACTCCACAAGGAAATAGAAGGTATAAAAAACAACCAATTTGAAATTTTAGAACTGAAAAATGTAATAATCAAAATAAAACCTCAGTGGATGGGCTCAACAGCAGAATGGAAAGGATAGAGGAAAGAATCAGTAAACTTAAAGCTAGAACAATAAAAAATACTCAACTTGTACAACAGAGAGAAAATAGACTGAAAAAAATAAATAGCGTGTGAGGTACTTGTGAGAGTATAACAAAAAATTTAACATTCATGTAATTTAGAGTCCCAGGAGGAGATGAGAAAGAGGGTAGGGATGAAAAAGTACACAAAGAAATAATGACTGAAGACATCCTGAATTTAGCAAGAGACAAACATACAGATTCAAGAAACTGAGCAAACCACAAACAGGTTAAACCCAAAGCATTACATGCTGAGAGACATCATAAGTTACTTCAACAATTAAGGACAAAGAAAAAAATTTGAAATAAGGGAGAGAGAAACAAAACCTTACTTACAGGGTAAAAACAATTAGAAACATAGTAGTAACCACAGATGTAGGAAAGAAGAGGCACAGTATTTGTCAAGTGCTGAAAGAAAAAGAACTCTCAACCAAGAGTCTTATGCCTAGCAAAAACATCCTTCAGTAATGAAGGGGAAATTAGGACATTCTCAAATGAAGGAAAACTTAAGAAATTTGTTGCCAGCAAATATACCCTAAAACAAGGAATAAACAAGTTCTCTAAACAGTAAGGGTATGATAAAAAAAAAGAATCATGGAACAGGGGTAAGGAAGAAAGAACACAGTAAATTAAAAAAACAGGTAAATACAATAGGCTTTCCTTCTCCTCTTGAGTTTTCTAAATTATGTTTGGTGTTTGAAGCAAAAACTAGAATACTGTCTGATGTGGTTCTAAATGTATGTAGATGGAATATCTAAGGCATTTATATATCATAAATGGGGTAGGGGTAGAGGGAAAGAAAGGGAGATGAGATTTCAATATAGGTAGACTGTGATCAGTTATGAATATATAACACTGTCTAGAGCAACCACTAAAAGAGATGTGCAAAGAGATGTACTCAAAACACAAGAGATAAATCAAAGTAGAAATCTTAAAAAAAATTTTAAGTAAAACACAGTAAGGCAAGAAAAACCCTAGATAAATAAAAAGCAGAGAGCAAACTAAAACCAAAAAATAAAGTGGCAGACTAAAGCCCTAACATACCAATTATTACATTAAATGTAAATGGTCTAAACATACCAATTAAGACAGTGATTTGTAGAGTGGATTAAAAACATGATCTAGTTACACGCACTCTTTAAGAAACTTACTTCAAATCACCAGTATGGACAGATACTGTGAAAGGATAAAAAAAATATATCATGGAATCATTACAAAGGAAA